TGGCCAGCAGAGAGGCCCTTTTCTCCGACAAACCTCCACCAAAAGTGTACAGATCCAACACAGCAGGGAACGGGCCCTCTCCTGAATAAAGACAAACACAAAGACAGATTAAGAACTACAGGTCGGTTACAGTTGCAGTTATTTATTTTTTTAAACTGTTACTTGTACTTTCTGTGGTCCACCTTGGTGCGTATTTTTGTACAGTGTAATTTGTGTAATTTCAAATTTTATCTTAAATATTTTGTGCTTGCATCTGAATTAATATGTTGCTATTTCTGGCTCTTCACTTCGCTGTAACAATCTAAATGTCCCCTCTGTAGGATGTGTAAAGGTATTCTGATACTGAAAACTGAAGCCAATGCATGAGTGCCTTAAACCTGCAGTATTTCTAATATCCAGCTCTATCCAACTGCCCAGTCAGATTGTATAGAAGTCTATGACAAATAACCATGCTTACTCGATTACATGATTTATTAAACCACAAAATATTTGGAGAGTTTATGATCTCAATCCCTGCTCCGACCTCTCATTCACTTCGTGTTACAAAAAAACAAGAAGGTAACAGCAAAATGCGTAAATCGAGGCTTAAAAATGGAAGTCAGCCAAACTAATCTGTGAAGTCCCGGTGACTATGTCAGCTTCTTATATACAATTTATGTTTTTAATTAATAGTGTTGTTGGAGCCATGAATATCAGAAAGTGGTACTTTGTGTTGTAGATTTAGTAAATGTTTTTTGGTTGGTCATACTTGGTTATTAGTCTTTGTATATATTATTATGATTTATTATTTTGTGATCAATTATGGGTTGAATTAGTTGGGTCCCATGGTTATTGGTGGCACTCATAGTAAATATAATCACCTGTGTGTGTGTGTGTGTGTGTGTGTGTGTGTGTGTGTGTGTGTGTGTGTAAGAGAGGGTGAGAGGGTCGGTGTATTTTTTGTTTACCGCAACTTTTGATAACTGGATTATACAGACTATATGCTTTTACATGTGATAATAAGCCAACCATTTTCATTAATTTAGGATTTTATTCAAAGCATTTTTGGGCCTGAACACATCTTTTTCCAAGCGTGTCAGACAACCAGGCCCGACCTCAGCCTCTCAGGAACATATTGGTTCCTGAAGTCATTATAATTGTTTTTGTTTGACAATGGACTTGTGTGAAAAAAGGAAATAGCTTTATCAGGCTGTGGCCATGCACTACTGTTTGATTTGAAGAGGAATAGAGAAACGGACTAACCTGGGGGAGTAAACAGGACTCCACGAATATTCCCATCTTTCACCGGGTGTCGGATGACCCCGTCTCCAACCAGAAGCCTCTCATTGGTCGCCTCCGCCAGCATCCCGCCCTCCTCCTCCTCGTGCACTGAGAACTTCACCACCTGGGGGTTCAGTGAACATGTTTTTGTGAACCTTTTGTGCAAGGTGTCTGGCCTCATGGACCACAGCAGGCCCATGGGCTGGACCCCGGTGTAGGTCCCGCTGAGGGAGGGGTCTCTCTGCAGGTCCACCTCCCCGCTCCCATCAGCCTTGTATGTGGCCATGGAGCTGAACATCACTCCCTTCTCGTCCGTGGCTCTGGCTCTCAGGGTGACCACCTGTCTGGACCTCAGCCCGGCCACCTTCACATGGACCGGCTCGTCGAACATGCATCTGGCTCTGGGCAGCAGCCGCAGTCGGACCTGGGAGGACATCTCTTCTGGAACATGGGAAAAGATTTATAAATAGTCAAGTCAATGTCAACTTTATTGTCAATCTTCCAGTTTGTGTGTACAGACAGAGAGATCAAAAATACAGTTTCCCACAATCCTTAATACAAAAACAAATATATATAAAAATATGTGACATATACCTACATATACACAATCAAAAGACACATTTATACATATGCACACATTTAGACCTAAATTAAAGCACAACAATCAATATATACAACACAATAGTCACTTCAATATCTTTGAGAATGTACGTTTGTGCAAGACTGTCCATAGCAGCGTAAAATACATTCTGTTTTTAAAGATTAAACCATTACATGAGTTGTTTGGGCCTTTTGAAGCAAGCCAGATGTCTCTGAGATGTTAGCAGATTAACCAAAGACTGGTTGTTTGTTGAGATAACATTTTTTCCAATATTTCACAAAACAGCAGTTGCTCTATCACTTAAGGTTGTGCCTTCTTTCTCTAATTGATCAACTTATAGCCCCTGAGATGTATGCCCCAAGCTTTAGGAAAAAGGAAAAACTTTACAAATGTATATCCCTAGATCTATTGTTACATAAAGTAAAGTAGTGATAACGGCTTACTAACACCTTCTCTCTGTGTACTATTGACTTTATAAAGACATAGGATGCAGCTGCACCAGCTGTGTGCTGCAATTCACAAGCTACCCTGTAGTATACAAAGTCATTCAAACTAGCTGCACCTTTACCAGCTTTGATAACACTTTAATGATCGATAATTATAAAACATATATATTATTCTGAAATGGGCCAATCTGCACAATGACTATTTTTACTTTTGGTCTTCTACTTGAGTAACATTTTGAATGCAGGACTTTTACTTGTAACAGAGTATTCCTACACTCTGGTACATGATCCAAATTAATAGCAGTGCATGGTTTGAATTCCTGTGATGCTAAGTTAGCAGCGTCTTAAAGTACGTAACTAACGCAGGTAACGTAAAGAAAGAAACGTAACTTAACGTTACCTTCTCGGTGTTAACATTCGATGTTCTTCAAAACAGAGATGCACCTTTGCTCTAGTTGGCTCTTGACCGTTATATTTTTGACTGTGTGTTATGCTAAAACCATTCAAAACAGGTCCAAAAGTCATGCTAATGTCAGTAAACAGTGAAACAGGAAGATAAGGCTCTTTCACAATAAAAGCCTCACAACAGCTGATAGGACAGATGGCTTTATTGTATGAAGCACAGACAGTGTGGTTTGACTTCCTTAAACTTACAAAGAAAAAAGCAGCTTATATATTAGTTTAAGAGTTTAAGCTTATTTGTCTTGCCACACTTATAAAGGCATCACTGCGCATCCTTAACAAGTAAGTGACATTATAAACTTGCAACAGGTGTTGGATCGCAATATCCATACACTGGAACACATTTGACTTTGGATTATTTTATATATACATAATTGAATGAGATGATGCCTCCATTTTTTTAGGAAAGCTTTTAAAATCACATCATTTTTGGCTGCAGTATGAACCAAGCCACAATATAAGTCACGTAGCCTACAAACAACTCCAGAGTCCATCCTGCCTTATCTAAATACAAGTGATACTCAGATGTTAGCATTATACTGCCCTCTTGTGAAAAAAGTGCCTTATGACACGCTCCTGGGGGCTTGTTACTGTACAACTTATCCCTCTGTGCCATACATCCATCATCCAAAAGCTATTAAAAACAAACCAATGAATTGCAGCAATCTTTCCTAGTTTAAAGGAGATCTAGATTTTGTTCTATCATTCATCCTTCTGTGAATACCCATCTAAATGTGTGCTATTGTGAGAAGAAAATCTACTTGTTTGATTAGCATTACCTGAAAACTACCTTGCCAAGCTGTTGCTAAGCAGTTAATGAACAGCGCAAAATATATTCATATCGCAGTTTTAATGAATAGTGTCTTCAATTGGTCTTTCTGGGATTCATTGAGAATAGGAAGAACAATGAATTATACCAACCATATGTATCCCTACCAAGTGTTTTTGAATGTGTCCATGTCAAGTGTACGAATAGCATTCCTGTTATTGAACATTTTAATCCAAAATTTCATTTCACGGCAGAAACATTTATTCAGAGGAGGACCCATATTCCACTCATTGCTGCAGAGGCATCACATTTTCTAGTAGGCCTATTACTACATTTGACTTACCTTTAGTTTGAGAAATAGTCCACAGTTAGCTTCAATGTCTTTGATGTGTCTTATTCTCAGTTGTCATGGATGCCAAGTCGGTTTACCTGGCAGTAACACACTGTGCTGTTCTGTGAATAAACGCTAGACTTTGGACCCTCTGCTGAATGAGAGAGAGCGTTTAAAGTTGTAATGAATCTTTCTAGTATTACAGTATGTCTTCTGTCCTCACAGTTTATCGTTGCATGATGAAACATGTTTTTGATGTGGGTACAGCTTGTTTCTCTAGCTCATAAATGCGCACAAATTATAAGAGGGGTATTTTAAAGAGGCTGTATTATCGTTTTTTAGGTTTTCCTTTTCCTGTGGTGTAAAGATTGCTGTGCATACAAAATGGTCTGCAAAGGCTTAAATCCAAAAGTTCTCTCTCACACACTCCCCCGGCCCCTGCCTGAAACGCCTCCATTGGACTCCGTTGTTTACTTCCTGAGCATAGTGATATCATTAAGTAAAACTCAAGCTAATTTAGAGCCACAAAAACACCGTAATAACAGTGTAATTACAGTGTATGGGTGTAATATTGCTGTGACATGGGTGTTATATGGGTAAAATAACAGTGTGACATGTGTATAATACTTGTGTAATAATAGTTTAACATGGGTATAATGGCAGGTTTATTAATGTGTAATGTGGATGTGATAACAGTATAATATGGGTATATTAGGGGTGTAATTACAGTCGGTGTACTGTACGGTGTAATAATGGTGTACCATGGGTGTAATGCAGGTGCAATAATGCTGTAATAGGGTGTATTAGTGTGTAATATGGGTGATATAACAGTTTAATATGGATGTTATGTAGAAAATAGCAAGTGATTACCCATTTAATCACTTGCTATAAACCGAGCAATAAAAAAACTAATACGCACTTAGATACTAACTTAGCACTTAACTAACTAAGCACTTATATACTAACAAAGGACTGGCTTATCTAAAGCCTGTTGAGTAGCACTTGACATTTTTGGCTCTATGAAACCTGATGTACTTATGATTCTGTTTTCTTCAAGTTTGTATCTTCTTGGTCGAATGGACTTATTATGAGTCGCTTTGAATAAAAGCGTCAGCTAAATGAAATGTAATTTAAGGTTTAGATAAAATAATTAAAGTGTTAAAATGTTTGAATCCAGAGACACAGGACGACATGTTTTCGAGTTGAGCATTATTGTGATTTAATTCACTATGTCTTATATCACAAAGAAAGTCTTTAAAAATGCAGACTAGAATTTCTGTATATAAACTGTACACAAAAAGCAAGGCACTATACATTCAGAGCTGCTGTTTCTCTTCCTCGTGAAACCTTTAAAATTACAACTCTTACATCTCGGTAGGTCACGACTCAGCAGATTTAACACAGTGGAGCAACTTGAGATCCTACGTGGTCAGACAGCATCCGGACAGAAAAGAAAAAAAAAACTTTTCCCCACAACATCTGACGTGACGGGATTTGTTTTTACACACGTACACAAATACACATTACACACAAACATTATATACAGCCGCACACACACACACATACATACACAGCATGGCACTCTGACACCAAGCGTACTATGTGCACATTTTCATTCTTAAATCCTGACTTTGGAGGGGACTCCAAAACACCGTGTATGAACCGAAGCAACGTTTATTTTTCCACTTTCTCTTAAAACGTTTGAATTTCTGTTACGTAATGACAAAGTTTAAAGGTGAAACATGACTATAAGCAAGGCGAGTGTCGGCCTTTGTGTTCCTTTTCTTCAGATTCCGGTACTTTCCATCCCAATGTCCTCTCGTGTCCATCAAAACAGGTTAATGTGACATTTCCTGTGTCTCCGTCTCCATCTCCATCTCAACGGGCCAGTTTTTATCCGCTGCTTCCATCGTCGATTTAAAAAACTTTCTTAAAACAATCCTCTGGCCTTCTTTATGTTCACTTGCTTCCACCCTGGTAAACTTTCATATTCCTCTCTTTTCATCTCCAAAGCCTTCTGCAAAGAGAAGTAGAGACAGCAGGTAATTCATCAGGACACACACATTTCACTTCATGTACTGTTTTAACGGAAAGTGTTGTTTCTTGTAACTGATAACATCTGTGGAGCCTTCAAAATTGGTCTTCTGGAGAAAAAAGAACCGGCAAATGTAATGGATTCTTTTTCTTCTGCCTCAGATAATAATAATCCATTTTATTTATAAGCGCACTTTTCAAAAAACTCAAAGTGCTAATAAGGTAAGATCAGGTAAATAAGAGTATTTCAAATACTGCACATGTTGTTAATCTCTTTACATTTCGTGCTTATAAGCCTTTAAAACTTTTCAGAATGATTCCATATGTCAAGGGTACACATTTATTTTTAAATATTCTCTACGACAGAAAGTCATCTACGTTTGATTAAAATTTAAGCGGCTGTGAATTTTCCAAGAAATATTACCCGCTTAAGGTTAAATATAGTTTAAATATAGTTTTCTTGGTTCTATCACAGTTAGATGTCAATTTTAAAACTGTATTACGTATATTAAAGTGTAAAATACATATTCCTACTGGTCAATAATGCAATATATTCTGCATATCAGACTCATTTGGTTCATATATTTGCTGATTACTCGTAGTTTGTATCATAATATACTGTCTGTTTGGTCGATACTGGGCTATTTGAGAGAAAACACACTGGTTTCTTGTTAATGATATATATATGTATCGCTGTGGGGGTTGTTACAAGGGAAGTTTAGTTGTTTCAGTGTTTTTTTCATGCCTCCATTTTGTGCCCCAAAGACAAACAGTGAGTCAGACTGAGAGCAGCTGATGGTGAATCATGAGTGCATTTATTCAAACGAAGGGGAAAGACTCTCATGTGTGTGTGTGTGTGTGTGTGTGTGTGTGTGTGTGTGTGTGTGTGTGTGTGTGTGTGTGTGTGTGTGTGTGTGTGTGTGTGTGTGTGTGTAGAGATGAGTAGCATCAGCAGAAGAGTGTGGTGTAGTCGAAGGTGGTGAAGAGGAACAATGGCTGCACAATTAAATGTCTCAATTATCACGAAAGGTGCACAAAAGGTGTTTTAAAACGTTTGTTAACATTCTCAAATGTGTGTTGAAAACTGCTCAGTCAATCTTTAACCATTGGGGATTATATGGAGGTCAATTTCTACTTGAATAATACTTTTTAAATATACAACTTACCCTACTGAAAAAAACAAGTTAATGACACATTTTTATTTATACGACTGAAACTATAATTTCATCTACATAAATAACCATTTATATTTCCTCAACAGTCATTTTAAAACCCGAAAGGATATCACAAACGAATATATAAAATATAAATCTGAACAATTGTTGGTGTTTCTGCTTGATGAATGGCAATGAATCTGTTATCAAAATAGATGCTGAAATAAATGTTTCTGTCAAATGAGTAATATTAAAAAACGAGTTTCAAGTCTATGAGTCACTTTGTACAAAAAAGGAATTCATATTTTCAAATCATGGCTGTAATAAGTATGACCATAACAAATATATGTAATACTTTAAATATATATTTGTAGTTTCTAATGTTGTAGGACGTGAGTGTGTCTCATATGTCATTTTATATCCGTTGAACATCCTGAATGGTTTTTGACGGCTGCTGTTAAAGGTCTCGGCTGACTGGATTTGATCTAATAGAATAATCAGGAGGATCGTTTCAGACGTAATCGTGCAGCCAAGCGCTAAACTTTCCCCCCCAACCAGACCCACACTGAGGAGACAGCAGTGAAACAGGAGTGAAACAGAAACAGAGGTGTCAAACCACGTGAATATTAAATATTAAGAAAAGAAACACAGTGCTGACGTGCCGTAGAGAAGAGAGGTCGCCTGAATCACACAAATGTCTCTTCTTACCTGATCCACCTACAACTCGCTCTGTGAAGTGAGAGTTAGATGGCGTTAGGATGGAT